GGATTGGCCCTACGCCATAATATGAAAAACAGGCCCAAACCATTATATGTATTGATGTTGGTATTCTCTGTTGGGGGACTTTGAAGTATGGATAGTAGTTGCATATAGTATGGAGGCTGTTCCATCATATCAGACAATTTTAAATTAATATTATATGTCCACGTCACTTTTCTAGTGGCCAGCCTATATGACATTTTACAAAACAATAATAAAAATTATTGTATTTTATACACACCATGTCACTGACATAATTGTATTAGAAAAGGAAAGGTCCAGCACCGATCCAGGAGAATTATCAAACAGATTTTTCTTAAAAGTTGAAGAACCATTCAAGCAACTAAATTAGGAACTATCCATCAAAGGTTTTAGTGCAGCTCCCCGAACTGTGTCAAAAGAGTCGCCGTAAGCTTTGCATCTGACATTGAAATCTCCAGCTATTATGACATTTGGTTTATCTTCTAAGTTATGTTTTCAGATCATTTGATTTCACCGAATTAGGAAAGTAAAACTCCTTGTACATTAGAACTTTTTACCGGGTTAACCTACTTTATGAGGATTTATTTGACGTATATGCAAAGGAATTAACAATTGAAACTCACTGGGTTAACGAAATCCGGTTAAATGTAAACGTACTATATATAAACTGGTGAAATTTTGGGATAAATTAGTAGTTCATTTTTATTTCATATGATACACCATAGTTGTCAATTCATTTCTTGGGGATTAAAATTAGTAGTTACTAACATATGAGTAAATAAATTGTTCATCAACATTTTGTAAAATCAGATACAATTTTTTCATAAGGAGTTACTCTTGAATAACTTTCTGATTGAAAAACTGGTTTGCTTGGAATAGTGGATTCTGGTTCTGCTGTTATTAACGTCCCTTTTGGAGCAACGGCTGCGACTTTATCGCCTTTGATTAAATTCTTCATTCATTGTTTTTTGGGAAGTTTAGATTTACTGGAGATTTGTGGGAATTAATTTTCATATTGGTTGTCATCAAGAATGGCATAATAGTTAGAAGTGTTCTTATGCAAACATTCTTTCCTAGTTGAGATAGAAATCGACATAGATTCTTTAATATTCCTTTCAATAGCATACTGCGGACATTTTCTCTCATCCATAAATCCATCAAAACAATATATTTTCCACAAAGTAGACATCCTTTCTGTGATTTACCCCTGGGGCATTACTCTGTATTGTGATGTGTAAGAAAAATTGTATCGCATCGCGTAATTGGTACTCTCTAATTCATTTTCGTATTTCCTTTCGCATCTTCTTTACGCAAATATGGCATCACCGCACTCTGTAATACGAAAACGCATGTCAATTTCGTTCGTTAAACTCAAATATCTTGCGTTAACAAAATAGCAAAAGCAAATTAAGCGAAACATATAAGTAAGCACAATTAAAGGTTTTATTTATATCTAAATTGTTAATTATTTTAGGTGGTAGCCAAAAAAGTTACAGTTGCAACTCAGCAACGTCAGTTCCGAACTTTAGTAGATTTTATGGTGCAACACAGCGATTTGGCAAAAGGAACAGTTGCTGAGTTCAAATGATCAATCTCTTAAAATTCTTTTTTTTTAATTCGTTCATAATTTTTGTTAAAAAAATCACTCGTTCCACATAAATTTTTGACACTCGTACCACATAATTTTCTTCGTTATTGTTTACTTTGTAGTTCCAGTGTTGCCCTATTTTCGATTTATTTTGCGAATGCGTTTGAGTGAGCGATACAGAGTACCAAACGCATTTAGCTTTCCCAACGCAATACAGAGTAACCCCCCCTGATCACAATATGTCCTAGACATATTGCAATTTTTACAAAGCCGAAACTGTGGTATGTATAAGTCCGCTTCGACAATCGAAGTAAAGATTTTAATTTTTCTTACTAAGAAATCTGCTACAATGCCGACATTTATAGTTTGAGATTATTAAAACGGTAGACTAAAATAAGGCTATTTAATGATGAATTTTCCTTCATGTTATCGAAGAAAATGGTAAAATCTAGCAGATTCTTGCAGTACGGGAACAGACCAAAAATTATTGGCGATGTCGTATTATTAAAGGACAAACGAAAAGTTTTGTATCCTATATTTTTGTTCTTTCTCGTGCTAATTGGTTCCTCAGATGTAACCAGGACAAAATAAGGACTAGGATGTTTAGTGTGGTCAAGTTTTCATAGGGATTAAAATTGTGGATATTGTTAGTGTTGGCAGGGCTATTACTTGGAAATGATGGGTTGTTGAAAGGTGTTTTGGGATTATCGAATATTTCTGGCATATTACTTATATTTGATGGCATATTGGTGTTTTTGTGTTGTATGTTAATATTGTTGACTTCATTAGTGTCATTAGTACTGTAGTTAGAGTGTGCAGGAGTAATGTTAATTAACTGATTTTCACTATTGTGTGTTGGGTTAGCAGATGATGGTGTAGAATTGTTGTTAGTTTGGTAAATTTTGTTTTGTGCTGGTGATGCTGAATTTTTGAATTTTTTTATTTCCAGGTGTACTTAAATTTTTAAATCTTCTCCTAGGCTCCAAAAGGGGAGGTGGCTCCTCGTCCCCCATTTTCACGGAAGATTTTGAATTTGGAATTTGTTTCAAAAATTAGCAAAAGTATTTCAAAATAAAAAATGGAAACATGTGTGGTGTAGGGTAATATGTGATTATTCTTCAAACAATAAATTTAAACAGTCAATGAAGATTTCCGGTTAACTTTATTAGTAAACCTTAAGAAAATAAAATAAAAAACAAAAAAATTAATATATCCACAAAATCTTTATTTGAATTTTGCCTGTAAGTGCGAATACACAAACTCAATTGGAAATACATACGGATATTGTATTGAAAGTCGTTGTTTGTTTAATATGATATTTGTTTTACATCATGCAAAATCGCATAAATATTGATAGACATTAAAACCAACAATTTTTCCAATATATAAAACAAATTCCAGGCCAACTGTGCACTGAAGACGTGCCGAGCCATCCATTACATTATTCTCTCCGCTAACAAACCCCAATAGCTTCAAATGGACTAATGTTGATATTTGGGAAAGAAGATTACACGTAAGGCCAACCTTTTCATCCAGAATTGCATAAAATATAGCTAGTAACCGATCAAGGCTGAATGATTTGGGTCCCAAAGATGACGACATTTTCTCCGCAACCTATATACAATTAAAATAATGAATCATCATATTTAAGTTTTGGAACAGATCCTTTTATTGTCCGTTATTGTCTCGATATAAAATTTCGACAGCACTTTAATAGAATTTTTAAATCAATCTAAAATAGCAATAAAAATGTTATCAATTATTTTCAAACGATAAAAACATTAAACAAAATAAGCACAAATGGCCACACTAACCCATTCTATAACAGTCACATGTACAATTTATATGTAGTCAAAAACATAAAATTTCATAACAGTCTGTTTCACTAAGACGATCGAAAATATATTCGAACGAATTGTAGTGACTCGAATTCGAATCAGATTTGGTTTCAGTAACTTATCGTTCGTTACGAGCAAGGTCTATATAATAGATCATCCAGTAAGCCCAGCTGCTATCTACGTTTTTTTTTTTTTTTTTTTTTGTCAAAATATTTAATTTCTAATTAAATTATTTAAATATTTAATTTCTATTTTGTTTTGCTTTCTAATTAAAAACGTTGTTGGCTATCAAAAGTATGTAAAATAATTTTTCAATTTCAAATACAAATGTGTAAAAATGCAAGAAAATTTTTATCAAATAGTGTGAAAAACAAATAAATGGTTAAGAAAAAATCAGTGCGGGGTGCTTATTTTGTCCTTCGCGTTAAAAATAAAACAAACGAAATATTCCAAGGTATATTTAATAAGGTAGCTGCATCGGCCCAGCTGTTGGTGCAAATAAATGTCAGAAATGTTGTAATGTTGAACCAAAAAATTAAAAAACTAAATTATAAATGAAAATCTCCGAATTTCGAAGAGCTTTTTTGACAATACTTTTATTAACATTTTCTACAAAAATTTGTGTAAAAAAATCTTCTCAATCTGTTTTTTTGGCAAAATATTTTTGACATATCAAAATACAACAACCGATGTTTGTTGTAGAAATTCGCCGATGTGGCTACCTTGATATAGGCCTTACCAAGGTAGATATACAAGGTAGCCGCATCGGCGAATTTCTACAACAAACATAGGTTGTTGTATTTTGATATGTCGAAAATATTTTGCCAAAACAAACAGATTGACAATATTTTTTTACACAAATTCTTGTAGAAAATGTTAATAAAAGTATTGCCAAAAAATCTATTCGAAATTCGGAGATTTTCATTTATAATTTTGTTTTTTAATTTTTTGGTTCAACATTACAACAACATTTTTGACATTTATTTGTCCAACAGCTGGGCCGATGCGGCTACCTTATTAAATATACCTTGGGCCTTACCAATACTTTTATTAACATTTTCTACAAGAATTTGCGTAAAAAAATCTTGCCAATCTGTTTGTTTTAGCAAAATATTTTTGACATATCAAAATACAACAACCGATGTTTGTTGTAGAAATTCGCCGATGCGGCTACCTTGTATATCTACCTTGGGCCTTACCTTCAAATATTCTAAAATACATTTTCGCCACAACAATAACGTTTGACAATAAATTTGTAGGGTTGTATTTTTGTAGGAATTCGCCTTCCGGATGACCCAAGGTAGATATACAAGGTAGCCGCATCGGCGAATTTCTACAACAAACATCGGTTGTTGTATTTTGATATGTCAAAAATATTTTGCCAAAACAAACAGATTGGCAAGATTTTTTTACACAAATTCTTGTAGAAACTGTTAATAAAAGTATTGCCAAAAAAGCTATTAGAAATTCGGAGATTTTCATTTATAATTTTGTTTTTTAATTTTTTGGTTCAACATTACAACAACATTTTTGACATTTATTTGTCCAACAGCTGGCCCGATGCGGCTACCTTATTAAATATACCTTGGGATGACCTGATATTTGAACCAAGGTATGTATACAAGGTAGCCGGATCGGCAAATTTCTACAACAAACATCGGTTGTTGTATTTTGATATGTCAAAAATATTTCGCCAAAACAAGCAGATTAACAAGATTTTTTTACACAAATTCTTATAGAAAATGTTAATAACAGTATTGCCAAACAAACTCTTCGAAATTCGGAGATTTTCATTTAAAATTTTGTTTTTTTAATTTGTTGGTTCAACTTTACAACAACATTTTTGACATTTATTTGCACCAACAGCTGGGCCGATGCGGCTACCTTATTAAATATACCTTGATTTGGACCATGAAATAAACGAAACAAGGTAGATATATAAAGTAGCCGCATCGGCGAATTTCTACAACAAACATCGGTTGTTGTAATTTGATATGTCAAAAATATTTTGCCAAAACAAACAGAATCATAAGATTTTTTTGTATACAAATTATTGTAGAAAATGTTAATAAAAGTATTGCCAAACAAGCTCTTCGGAGATTTTCATTTATAATTTTGTTTTTTAATTTTTGGTTCTACATCACAACAACATTTTTGACATTTATTTGTATTTTTGTAGGAATTCGCCTTCTGGATGACTGATATTTGGAACATGCTTACAAGTTAGAAAAAAATTGGAAAAATACCAAATTGAACTAATATTTTTACAACTATGTTGTATAAATGAGAATCGAATGAGAAATAGAAACAAAATAAACAATAACAACTTAATGATCTGCTACTTTTACGTGTTCTTTTGATTAAAAATCGGCTGTTAATTGTTTAAAGTTAACAATAGTTGAGAGGCCAATGCCAAAACAAGCTGATATGGATCTAATATCATGCTTAATCGCAATGGATAATAAATGCGACGTGCAATTTATTTTCAAGAATACATGGACAGATGGTCGGACAAGCATTATCCGTATATATATATATATATATATATAGAATTGATTAGAACGTCTTCCGAATTGGATCATTGATAAAGTAAATGATTCAAAAACCAAACCAATGTTGTTTTGTCCTAGCAACCGTTCATCGGTTGGTTTGAAAATCTTCTTAGGCATTGCTCAGATTGTAGAAAATTTCCTTGGCTGCTCGTTTAGAAACTTTGTCAAATAATGCAACTTAACATTGTTGTGAAGACCGGTATGCCTATTAGTTTGCGTTCGTTTTTTTTTCTAGATCCACTAGGAACCCTCAAATACTTTGTAGTTATTATTGATATTGAATTATTCTCAGGCGTATACCGAATTATAAATTTGTGGCGTTCGGAACGTTCGAAAAAAAATTATGTGAAATTGTTAATAGGTTTTTCTGCGTTTCCACTAATAATTACTCAATAAGTTATTTAACCCTTTCAGTGTTTTTGTCGAATATATTCGACATTTAAAAGCACTCTCATTCTTTGCGATTTTTCGGTTATCCTATGTACCGTTACAATTAATGTTTTTGTTTTTGCTGAAAGACAGACAAAACTGTCCGAGAAATAAAATAATAATATCTTTTTTTCCAAACTATGTGCCTTTATATGATATAAAGCACAAAATTTTAGATTTTTATTCCGACAAAAAATTTTTTTACACTGAAAGGGTTAATAGCCTAGACAGACGACAGGCTTAATTTTAAGGCTGTCGTCTGTCTATGGTATAATTCAATTTATTTTGTATACGAGAATCTAGCCCAAAGGCCCAAGAGCGATTCAAAAAGCAACAAAATATAGACAAGTGTAAGAGGAATTATCTCCTCTTCAAACAATAAAATTACTCGAAATTTTCCAGTAAGATTTTTAAATCAGTAATTTAAAATAACTATTTCAATTCACTTTCTTTTACTGAAGTTTTGTGTAAAAAGACTAAATTTAGTAAGATTTTGTACAAATTGCTACTATATATCGAGTACGACGGACTAAATATTTGTATCGTTAGAAAAAATAAACCTTACGTTATAGAAATAAATACGTTACTAAATGAAAGTTTTGAATCGAACGGAAGACCCCGAAAACGTTATTATGACAACAAAAATAAGAGAAGCAGTGCTGTAAAAGTTTTAAATCGATCCAATAGCTGACAGCAATTAAATGCGATTTAAATTCTCTGACCTTTGCTTTGGCATTAACGCTTTGCATTCGCTTGCGTTGTTTTCCATGATGTTTGACAAAGAGCCTTTTATCTTCTTTGGCAGAATTATGACTGGCTAGGAAAGCTGCAATCAATAAATATTTACCGTAGAATGGTAGTTCAAAAGTTTGTGCTAATTTGCGTAGACTATTATCGGCGGAATTTCCTTCGTAATTCTGGCTTGACTGTGTCTAAAAAAGTTAAACATATAAACTATAAAAATTAGAATAAACGATCTAGCAAAGCAACGCACCTCTTTCTCGGATTTATCGAACCGCATGTATACTTGAGATAGAGAAGATCGTAGCGGTGCTGCAATATTTCGCCATAATCTTGCAACATCGGTAATTTCGACAGTACCATTAAGAACTGGCTCAATATATGTAAAGAAACATTTGCTAGCAGTTATTTTTAATTCTGGGACATCGCGACATGCTTTGTAGAAGACACTTAAAAACACGTTGAGGTAATTATTGTAGAACTCCTGGGTTATTTGATCAACAATCGCACATTGGTTTTGTCGGCTTTCTTCACAAGACGTGGAGTTTATTCGACTTCGTACCATGCGAAGGTTATTTTCGAAATTACCACTCAAAATTTTTAAAGTTTCAACTTTGGTGTACTGTGGTGTGTACAAAGATATAATCTCCGAAAGTCCTGTTTTGCAGTGATACTTTTCCAATGGAATTTGAGATATTAACAATACACATATATTAAGGCCTGTAAATTCTTGTAGTCGTAGCAGCGAAGGCAAAATATTATTGTCCATATCTCTTAATCGATCGGCATTATCCAAAGCAATAACGAAGGCATTTCCAACTTCGACATTCGACAGTCTTAGTATTTCCACAAATTCTTTGAATGTGTCACACCTTGCTTCGGATGCGAGCAATACTTCCAATATATGTTCATACAAAATCTTCGTACTGTAGCATTCCACACAGTTCACATGTACCGCGCGAAATGTTTTAAATCCAGGCGTTTTGAGGAAATCTTTCACAATCGCAGTTTTCCCAGTTCCGGTGTGTCCACTGATGTAGATCGCTTGTGGAAAATTTTCCTGTATAAGATGAAATGATAATTTTAAGATATGTGCTAAACAACGCCATCTCGCATTTCGCTTTAAATTACTGTCGAATAAAACTCTACTGACTTGAGGGTTGGATATCATACTATATAAAATTCGTATGAAATCTGCTCGGCAGGGATATTTATTCTCCAACTGCTCCATGGAAATCACTTCAAATGACATTGCATACGTTTTTAACATTCAAAAACTATAAAATAAATTTATTCCGCCGTATATTGAATACTAAAGCGGCGTAGCTTTGGAAGTCTATTTGAGTATTGTTTGAACCGGCGAATTTGTGCTGATTTATTTAGGAGGGATTACGTTCAATAAAATCATTCACCTAAACGAACTTATGAACTAGCTCGGCTGTGTAGGGCAATGCACAATTTATAGCACAGTTAAGCCATTGTTACACGAGCCATTGTGCTGTCAGTTTTTTCAGTTTAATTTCCTTCGATGTTTAATTTAACTTCGAGAAGTTCCTCTTGGAAGCGACTCGGATGTGGTTCATTTCTTCCCGAAGGAGGTGACTTTCGCTATTAGAATGCGACTATCTTCGCCTAGGCTTTACTTCGACTTTACTTCAGCGATAGTTTTGCTTGCAGGGAATTGAACCGTAAACGTTAAGTTCGCAATAAGATAATTAGACAAAAAAGTAGTCACCACGGCTAAGCTAATGTAGTACGTTTACGTAACACTAAAGCGGTCCGTTTACGTAACGCAAAAGCGGCACGTATACTTATCGCGGTACTTTAAGTTGATTATTTATTTTCTTAGGGTTTCAACTCTACCTATGAGTTTTTTGAATTTAAATTTATGGTGTAATAATTGTAATTTAGTATCTAATTAACATATGTGTTGTAAAATTAAAACCTAAAACTGGCAGGATTTTACTTCAAACTGATGAAATCTAATTAGCACTAAAATTAACTGTTTATTTTGACTGCGAGTTTCCGATGCAGAGTCCTTTGCATATTGGAACCACTTTTTCATGACAGCAATAAAATTGGTTGACCTCGCGTTGCAAAATTTGCCACTGTTCATTCTGTATTAAAAAATTAATGAGACGAGATGATCGGCAATACTATGTCAAATATAGAATTTTTTTTCCTTTTACTAGATTAATTACTGTTATGCCATGGCATAATTATGAAGGATCATCTCATTTGAGTAATTAATAATGGCAACTCTTTTTAATTTGTAACTTACAACGTTACCTAAAATCAAACGAGGCGTACAAAAATATTCAACTACCCCACTATTTCGAAATGTTTTGTACGGCCGTATTACCCAAATATGTGGAGTCCATATCTCTTAGCGAGCTAAACAAAATCGAGAAATAAACTTGAAAAATTTTAAAATGTGGCCAATTATTTCATATTCTTATTGAAAAATTCATATTTTCTCTGTTTTGTTTCTTTTTTTTCAACAAATGAAAAAACAAAAATACGTTCTGTCATAGTTGCATTTTTTCAACTTTGAAAATTCGTACGTCGACGTATTTCATTCGGTAACATTCATATAAATACATGTGTTCTACTTTTGTGGTGAAAAACGTCGAACGAGCTAGTTGAATTTAAGGTAAGACTGCCATACATCAATTTCAAATAAAATGAAAAATAAATTCCATAAATTTATATGTATATCGATTGACATATTTTGAGAAACTTAAAAATTTATATTTTATTAGGCTGCACATTCGGGTATGTTCTGGAACTCACGGTGTGTTCTTTTCATTTTACACATACACTTCACCTCAGAAGCTACCTCCTGTTCTGCTTCTCACGTGAATTGAAATTTTGAACTGCGACAAAAATAAACGGCTACATTGTAATTTGCAGAAATAGTGTTGCCATACAATATAAACTGTATTCGTTTTTAACATTGTTTCTGTATTTTTTTAGTAATTTCGTTAATTCTAACGACAATTTTATTATTATTTTTTTTAATATTTTATTATTCGCAACATAAAATATATGTATGAAAAACTCTGTAATATCATTAATTTGTTTATTGATTTAAGAGGAACATTTGGTAACCCTATCTTTTTCGGCCTTACTTCAAATCAGCTGTTTGTGTTAAGCGAGAAATTCAGTTGAAGAAAATTCAAGACAAACCTTAATATCTATTTAAAATTTGTTTTTAATGGTGTTTCATGTTCATTTTGTGTTTTAAACAAATTATACGCAATAATAAAATATCAATCTATCATCATGTGCCTTTTTTATTTCAAAAAAGTTTTTCTTTTATATGGAAAAACCTGAATACACCCGACTCTCACTATGGAAATGTAAGTGTAAAGAATACACCTCAAATGGGTGTAAAGTGTGTTACAGAACACCTCGGCGTGTGTTCGATACACTTCTGCCGTTGAAGTGAATGCCAGAACATGCCCGATTGTTCTCAAGGCGTAACTATGAGTATTACAACCATGGCATATAAATAAGGTCACCCAGGGAGACTAGCTGGCTATCTGCGCCACTCAAGTTTGCTGTCGAAATGTATTATTGTGAATTGACTTCCATTATGAAAACGTAAACAAAGTCGAATTTTGACATTAGACTTGAGAAAAAACAGTAGAGTCGTTCTATCTAGTTCAGTTGTCTGATCGCTCTTTGTAGTTCAGCTCTTTTGACTGAACTAGTTCGGTCTTCTAGTTCATTAGTTCAATCGTTCGCAATGGAGCTCTTTTATTCAGCTGTCATTTTACTTACGTCGTTCTTTTTTATTTATTTTTTTATCGCTCTACGAATAGTTCAGTTGATAGCTTCTGTTCTTGTAACATTATGATATGTGAATAAAAGCAATTTTACAATTTTATTTTTTGTTTGAACCTATAAGGTGTGAATTTTTTAAGAAATGTTTCAGAATTTCAGACTTATAAGGCGTGGATTGAACAAAGTTTTAGAAGAATCTGTGGACCTATTATTTAAAGAAAAGTTTCAGAATAATTTAAAATATACTTCTTTTTAATCACAAAAGTACTGATAAATATAACAGCTTTCAGGGTTTGTCAGCATAATATAAGTCTTGATTTAGATTAGACGAGTTTACTTGCGGCAATTATTATCGTTCCCTTTTGAACTTGCTTCATGCGTCTATACAAGGCAATTCGGTTTCGAAAATATTTCTTTTTTCATTTGATGTCAATAGTTTTTTCACATTTAAATAAATATAAAATGTCAACATATACGAAATTCACAAACCGAATTGCCAGAAAATTGTCGCTACGAGCAATTTTTTTTTCATTTCTATTCCCCTTGCTCCTCTCTCCTACAAACAAAGTCTTGCCGCAAGTAAACTCGCCTAATCTAAATCAAGACTAAGCAACATATTTTTTTATTAGTGTTTACTAAATGAAAGCGATGCTAATAGCATATGCAAAATAAAACTCGACCGGTGCCGCTTCCATTTAGACCAAATCGAACTAAAAGGAACGATAATTCCAGATCGTTCTTTTAATGAACTAGAAAGAACGACTTTGTAAGACCCAGTTCAATCGGTCTTTTAAGTGAATCGTTCATTTGAACTAGTTCGTTCGTGAACTGTACAACTCTAAAAAACAGCTGTTTTAAGATTTTAAGATTGCTACATGGGTTACCTTATTAATAGATCTTGGTTACAACTTCTATTTATAAATTTAAGAGGCAGGGTACTTCAAAATATGTATAAATATAAATGATTTAGCAATTTTTGTTACTGAATACATGATATGCGTACATTTCAAAGGAAGATATTTTCATTGAAATTTTGCAGGCAGTACGCTGTCAAAGGCATTTTTTTTAATTTAGATTCTGACATTTTCATACCAAAGCCTTTTTACCGTCTTCCGTCTTGACTTGTTCCTCCAATTGTAAAAAAGACTCTGCTGTAGATCGGGAATATGAAGGAAAAATGGACCCAGTTTTTGCACCATCGCTGGTGCAAATAGCCTTAAGCTCTTCAATTTCTCGGCGCATGCATGACAACGTCTATTTCTTCAATGCTTTTTTCACTTCTTTAACTCAGTTCGTTTTCGTAAAGCAAAAGCGGCATGTAAACGGACTGTTTTCTTTCGGATATAAGAAACTCAAAAAACGGAAATTTCTTCCTTATATGCGTTTTTTTCTTATATGGAATTATCGGATATAAGAAATTTGTTTCTTATATGGGTACATACGCATATAAAAGTACAAAATTACTAAATTAAAATCAGTTCACAGTTTGACAAAAATTCATATAAATAATGTTCTTTAAATACAATTCAAAAGTATTATATTTTATTTTTTAAAACATTTTCAATGTTAATAAATTGACCAACAATCTTACATATTTTTTTATATGAAACCAAGGTGTATTTAAAAATGGTGACAATCATATGGTTTCAAAATTGTTTCTTTATTGTTTGTAAAGTAAAATGTCAAAAATATTTTCAATATTACATTTCAATTTCAAAAATGTTTTTTTAGGTTTTTTAATGATAAAAATTCATGAAAACTACATTCATAGTGGGGGACGAAAAGGAAACATAGGCTCAGTTATAACCCCGTTCGCCGATTGGTCCATATTTTATGTTATGTGTGGAAATCTGTCCAGAAATTCCAGCTACTCATAAAATCGAGGAGATTATGTTAGCCTATATTGGAATCGGCCCCTTGGTGCTTATCACAATTCTCGGCGGAGGTTAAATACGCATATGGAAAGATTTTATATGGTCAACACAATTTCCATGATTTAGTCTTTGGCCGGGGATTTATGTCCTTCAATTTTCTTTAAGAAGGCAAGAAGCCACTCCATAGAAAAAATAGATTGTAATCTACAATATAAACAACATCACAAGGATCCATGGGCTAATTGTGGGAAACTTAAAATTAATCGCGACCATGTCTTAAACTTTATTTTTCCCTGACCTAAAACCGTCAATAACCTAAGAATACACAAATTCATTAATTATTCCTGAAAGAATAGTTCTTGACAAAAATAAATTAAAATTGTTTTTGTTTATTTTTGTCCAAAACTTATTGTGAGCATGACAATTTAATTTCTATAACAACAATGTTGGTTTTGTAAAATATTTGTTGTTGTATCTGATGCATACACCTTATTAATTACACCTTGTATGAAACGTTTTCTAATACCTTTGTCAGTTTTGGTGATTGACGAACATTTCATATATCAGTGTTTTTCTTATACGCGTTTTT